TCCAGCGCCATGCTCACCAATCCGCATCCCTCAGTCTCCACAGGCGCCGTCTCGGCTTCGGCTGGCCAGACTGCGGCCGGCTTTTCCGGTTGCCCGAAGCAGTCGGTTGGCCTTGGTCTTCCGTTTCAATTCAACAGCCTCACCAACAGCCAGCAATACCTGAATCATGCTTCGCAAATGCAACAACAACAACAACAACAACAACAACTACAGCCTTTTATGCAAATAGGCCCGCCGAACCACTCTCCAGGCTCTGGCTTTTCGCATCAGTTCGCCCAGCACCAGCAGGACCACCAGCATCAACATCAGCATCAACACCGACAACACCAGCAACAACAGCATCTGTTGCAGACTCAGAAGCATCTGTTGGCCGCTGGCAACGGCATCTTTCCGGCCGATCTGAGCGCCTGTTTTCAGACTGGCTTCCTCGCTGGCGTCAGAGGTGCTCCCGGATTGGCCTTTCTGGCCGAGCAAGAGGCACCACCGCCACCAACCACGCCACCACCGCCGCCGCCGCCACCTCCGCAGGCCTCGGTCTCCTCCAGCTCGCCGTCCCGGACTCGGCCTCAGGGCTCTCCGCGGCGTGGGGCAACCGAGTCGAAATGTCACACTTCGCAGAGCCGTAGCAACGAGGCCTTCAACCCCGGTCTCATCGCGCCTGCCTCCGAGTCCCTCGCGCCCGGCGGCAGCAGTTCCACCAGCGTCAGCAGTCAGTCGGCCTTCGCGGCTCTGCCGTTGCCACTCGACCCCGTCCAGACGCATTCGACGCCCGGCGCTGTCGCGGCCCTCTTGAATGCACTCGCCTCGGGGCCGCCGGGCGCCACCGACTACACGCATCACTCCTCTCAGACTCACCATTGTCCACGCACCAGCAGCTGTTCACCGGCCAACGGTTTCTACGCCAACGCCAACACCAACGCTGAAGGAACGCCGGCATCGAGGCCAGCAACGGTTACAGCGACAATTGTACCAACGCATCAGCAACACCATATGCAACAACAGCGACACCAGCAGCCATCGCAACACTTCGAGATGGCTCATGTTCCCATGAATCCGGCCACAAGTCGAGATGGTATGTATCCCTTTCATATGCAGCCTCGTGTCTGATTATACCAGTTTAGTACACGTCTACCCGCAGGGATTTCCTTGTGGGTTAGTATTTCATCTACGAAATAAAGTTGCTTTTCGATGAGTCGCTTGTTGATCTCACCTCGTTTGCGTGTGACAATGTATGATGAAGAACCTCGAGGGTCGATCCCACCAAAAGATGTTGATCAAGCCTCATTTGGAAGCTGACCATTCCGGTTGCCGCGGTCCCCAATGCAATTTCCCATACCAATCTATAAACATACTAAACTTTCTCATGTCAGAGTCTTAAGGTGCAGAGAGCAAAATAGGATATTCCAAATTTGCAATCAACTAACAGTATAGTTATAGCCCCAGCTGATACAGAAATCGCCATCAACAAAACAATAGGAATTACTAATTAACCGAAAAACAAATATCAGTATGCATAAAATGAAATCTATATGCATTTTAGAATATAGACCAAAACAATTAGATGTTAAAATAACAATTACACCCAACAATAAATATAGTTAATTATGCTAATTGTTAGTAATACTAAATTTGATTCTGTTTCACTGACTCCACTTGAAGTGGGACACTCAAGCAACATTATGGCAAACGAAGACATAGAAATGCGAAAATATAAATGGCCAACATAACATGGGGCTGAGGGATAGGGATGCATTGGAGTTGCCATGAGGGGGGAGCAGAAAATTGATCGAGAGGATCGCCTTCACTTGTCACTGATGGGTTCTGACTTTGCTAATGATGGCGCCTCTCATTGACGATACCGACTACGATAACAGCGCAACGTCTGGCGATGTACTAGGTCAACGACCCGAACCTGGAACTTATCAAGAATACTATGAAAGAGGACATTATATGTAGCTCTGATCAAGTAGCAAAACCGATTTCAAACCAAGAGTTTACCGGTTAAAGAAACGGCGACAAAACCCAAGATTGCATCATCCTGGTATTCATAGCCAAGAGTAAAATATAAAGCCCCTAACAGCTGGAAAGCAATTTGCACATGATCAGCACCACTTACAGAAGAAAAATTATCAGATAAACCGAACAAATGAAGTCCAAGCTGGTGTGGCCCTCGGTACGGTCGCAGTCTCCTTTTAATGTATAGAGGTGGATTGACCTCGTTTTCGTGAGAGAATGTACCAAGTCCACATTCTGATGCTGGGAATTATGATAATTACTATGACAGATGATTTCGGACAAGTTGCGTTCTACTATGTCGCCCTGGCAACAAGACCAAGTTTCGAAAACGAGGTCAACCCACTTCTTACGTAAAATTGTCACTTTGATACTGGCATTCGTAGATTTGCCTCATCAGCTACCGAAGGAGGGTTGCCTTTGACCCTTGTCTGTTGAATTGTGCGAAGAAGACCTCGGCTCACCGTCCTACGACCCCGACGACTCGGTGCTCAGCTTTCGTCCGTCATGTGACGGACATCGTCAGTAACAGAGGCCATTCTTCCCGAAAAATCACTAAAAAAAACATTAAACCAAGATAGGTTGCAGGTTGAGAGCACAAAACCGTCGGAAAAAGTTTATGTATTCAGAAATCAGAGGTGGCTGAATAGGTGGTCACTTTAGGACAACAGACACAATGATCGGAATCTGAGCATTTTACCACATATCTGGACTTCATAGCTAAGCAGAAGATGAGTGTGTCGATAGGAATTAACAAAACAAAGAACATCCTGAATAATAGGAACGAATGTATGAAACTAAGTAAGAAGTATGTCTGGCTGCTAAATATAATTAGAGAAGCAGAGAGAGAAATTGGAAAGAGAAAGTGAAAGAGAAGAGAACGAGAAAGAGAAAGAGACAGAGAGGGAGAGAGGGAGAAATGGAAGGAAAGGGAACAGGAAGAGTTACTGAATAAGAGAAGAAGAGGAGTCTGGTTCCGGACCCGAAATTGCCAACTATCTCGTGACTGCTGCATGCACACACGAACAAGCATCTATGCAGTTTTAATAAGCTCCAGGATTACAGGATCATACGCTAGTTAATTTACATATACAGAAGTTGTGAAAACATCAGTTTCCCTTCCGGCATCACTTTAACCCGTTTGCACACATGTAGGACAAGCATAAAACACGAAGAAAAGTTGGGTTTAGAGGAATCTCTTGTTTCATAATTGTTGGGATTACTTCCATTTCGAGTAGAAGTGTTGGGTGAAGACTAACTAACTTAACTAACCAAATCACCTTATACTCGATCAAATAGGCCAGATGTAGAGTATATATACCACTTTTTA